TTCTGCAATGTCAACATTTCCAACTAATGCAACAGGGCAATTAAGGCCTACCAATTCCATTAGGATCATGACCATCATTAAACGACGCTGCCAAACACCAAAATACTAGGACAAAAATAACTTGTTCTGTTGTCGCACTCAAACTAGCCCAAGACAGAGTAGCCGTGTGTCTGGAACCCTAACTTCGCAGTTATTCCGCCAGGTTTTGAGTTGCGCCTCAATTCAAAATTCTCTCTCCGTCAAGTCAAATATGCAAATAAAACTCAATCAGTCGGTTTGTATTCCTTTGGATGCCGTTAATGAATCCCAGTTGCATTGTCATTGTAACATTTAGCAGGTTATTCCCGCACAATCCTATGTTGTCAAAAACCGCAAAAAATTTTAGCAAATTGGAGTATTTTTTAAGTTTTTCGATTCACGTACCCATTTCCACTGGCATTATTATTAAAGTCACTGTCAAGCATTCAAGATAGTCAGGACCAGTGGGCAAGTGCAACTAAACAGCAATTAATTTTATAATGGAATATAACATGAAAAAGAACAAAATTACGTTTTCAATGCGATCGCGAAACTGTATTGATAAGAAGGAGGGGATAACATGTAAACATTTGAAGAGCTTACCTCCTATGTTATTGGCTAGCGCAACCAATTCAACACGAAGGTTAAAAAAAAATTCAGTGTCAAAAATATAAATAATTGGATAACCTGCTACTTCAAAGTTATCGAAAACACGAATATTTTTCTGCTTCAAGGTCATGAAGACTATAAAAAAGATAAGTCTGCGCACTGCAGAATGGCAGGGCGCACGATAGGAAAAGCAAGCTAAACGATAGAACTCATCCAAAACATCAAGTAGCTTCATTCATTCATCTCCTGTTTGTTAAACTGATTTCTAAAAGATTCGTTATATAATATAATGATCTGAATGTTGTTACGTCGCAAGATTCTTGACATCGAAATACTCTACAGCTACAGCATTGAAATAATATGAACAATTACAGTTGTGCGTTTAGAACTGTCAGACAACTGATCACCACACTTACAACAAGGCTGTGAGAAGCAAGTTAGTTCAAGAGATTTCGACAATAGATACTTTTTTTCCAATAAGTCGGTTGTCCAAACAAAGCGTCGAAAGGGTAACTGAAATCGGATGTTAGTCATCATCTACAATGAATCCGTGTCACTTTAAGCCCTGTTGATTGCGATAAGCATTACCTCAAAATAACCTTAGCTCATGCCCATTCATGCAAAAATTCGCACGCCAAATCGAAAACCAAGTCCAGTGGGTTTTATTAGGTGACTTACCGGTTCACTTAACACCCAAATCGTAATTGATTACTAATTCTGCCCTAAGTCAAAACAACCAAAATAAGGCACTGTCTACGTTCAAATGAGTAGAATTCTATTACTCGCTGTAAAGCCCCTAAAATGTCCGAAGCACCACACAATCAGAAAGTACATTGTCTTCAGCACACAAATGCTTGCATCTCCAGGTTCTCTGTGTGATAATACACTTTTTCTGAGCATCCAAATACATGTTGGTCTTACCCAGTTTAACACTCATTACATTGCCTTTTCTTCACGTCAGTTTGTCGGGTTCAACCCGATATTTTTTTAACAATCATGCCTGGTTTAAAAATTGATCATTTAAAAACTAACCCATTCTTAGAATACGATTTATAATTTCTCTTGAGTGTGGTGTTTGCGTATTACAGATTAAACCAAAACAGAGCCCAAGGAACATTTAAATGATTATTATTAAATCTCAAAAACCCACCAGTTACATTTAAAGTTTGCTTTTAAGGAACAAGTTTTATTTGTCGATAGCTAATCAGCTTTGTAACTCACTCTAGCGATTTTGCATCGTCCTTGCAATTGCAAAATCAATAATTTTGGTTTGACCTGTTCGCGTCAAGGTCTCCGTTATCTAATTCGTTCACTATATGTTTAATGTCTGTGCCAGATGGACTCGTCTCCATTTCAGGACGGTAAGTCATGTACGGTATTATTACTCGTTTATTCACTGTCTTTTGTCGTAACTATCCACATAGAAATGCATATATAATTATACCTAAGTGAAATTAAATCAAGACTAGCAGTCTCTTGTTACATTTATTTATTATTTTTCGAATGTCTATGAAATCTGATTTGCTCTATATTCACGTCAGTGTTTTATTTCGTTCTCATGCATAGCGTCGTTGCTTTAGACGAGGCTGAAAATTCAATCCCGTTATCGTATTCCAAATTGTGCCTGCATGATAAGTTCTTTAAGAGTTGTTGGGAGTTGTTGACTTGGCAAATTACCGAATGTAATGGAAGTCGTAGTTTGTTTGATCCATTTAGGTTCTGTCACTGCTTTTTAATATTGTTTCAAGCTAGATAAAGATAGATACGCAACATCCTGTATGATCAACTTTGTCCGCTTATGTTTCACTGCAACCTAATGGGCTTCATTATCATATATGAGTGCATGTAGAGATATTTCATAACAGAAATGCAAACCTAAACACTATTCAATAACGCGTTTTTCATAGGTGTCAGAAGTTTTCAAACATTAAATATCCTTGTGTAAATGTGCTCCTTGAGTGTGTAACTTGTGCACTTAATTGTGGTCACTTCTTGGGAGATATGTATCACGCCGAATTGCATCTAGTAAAAGTGCCAAATAGATCGGGAACTGCTTCCCTTGGTATATCCCTGCTATAGTCTAGGTCAAACCGCCACTAAAATTTGCTCAGCTTGGTGGAAATCGAAGGGCATAAAATGTGTTTACTGACTTTGTAACTATAAAGTGAAGTCTGCACGTTTCCAGTTTGATTCTATTTTCAAACGTGTCAAACCTTTTTGATCAGTGGGAGTAATCTGGAATAATCATGAAATTGCAGATAAAGAATCCATTTTTGTTAACTTCTGTTCTAATATTTATCTTTATTTAGGTCTAACGTCACAAACTGCATTAAGTGTAAGGGCGTAAATGGAGTTCCTGCAGTGTTTATCCGCAAAGACGACCCGCCATTATGCAAGTAAGTCCTAGTGGGGCCTTCTACATTTTAAAACCTCCCAAAATCTGTGTGCTAGTTCCCAAGGGTGTCTGTTTGAATTTCGATACGGAAGCGCCAGGCAGATATTTTGCGAAGTTGTGGTTTAATTCAGTGCTTTTTTCGTCATCCTATCGTATCTTATTGAGGCTGTGTAGTCAGGAATTCCACACCATTACCTTGGCATATAAACCATATCGGGCAGCAAATAATGCCTTTCCTCCACGATGTGGTCAGAGGTCCCCATCGTGCTGGGATAAAAATACAAATGTTTTACCCAATGCAGCTCGAATGATCTCTCGTGTTGCAGGTACAGGACTATACTTCGTCGTAAAGAGGCTGAATATGAGGCATATTTGCTTGACGCTAAACATGGAAATTGATTCAAAATAATGTAAAGCTGGTGCCTCCGCACTGAATTAGATCAAATATCGTACAATCAATAGCAGTGCACTGGCTTCCTGATAACGTGGCTCTAAGCTGCAGTTTTCTTAGAGGGATGGTTTTATGCTCATTGTCCAAATGACAGGGAACTGTTCATACGAACAGTAGCTATCAAGTGCCATTTTAACGAAATTGTATCCCCACGCCTTTCGCTTGTTTCTGTCTCAGCGAAGCATTATTATTTGCATGGCCTTTCTTGGTATGTTTTTGCAGGACGTGCTTTTTGTCGGGTTGCGTGCATAAATTTCGATCGGCATTCGGCAAGGCTAATATTGTTCGAAATCGCGATGCTGTTGCGTTGGCGTTCTCCGGAGGGGCCTCCTCGCTCGCGATGCTCCAGTTGGCCAAAATGGTGTGTTGAATCGTAGATCCTTGTCTATCCAAATCACATTTTTTTGTGAAAAAGGCTTTTTAAATACCCATGAAGTTGCCTCACTTCAAGGTGATCAAATCTTTTTGAACACAAAATATATTTGCCGGTCGGATGTACCATGCAGTTTGTGAGTTATTGCCAATGCTATCAGTGGCTTGGAGACCGCGAAAACTAATACTAAATCAGTTCAGTCTGAACCATATCGAAACTAAGCATCATACTTTGTACCACGAAAACATTTCTCGCCTCATTACCAGACGCGCATAATTTCATTGTAATGACGTCTCACCACTGTAACCTGTGCTCAAGACTTCATCTGATCCAGATTCTCGTTTACTGTTTCACCACTGTCCTCTAGCAATCATCGCCGTGTATTGTATGGAGATCTTTTTTTTTCCCAAAATGTTTTAGTGTCACTCCACAAGTCAAGCAAGGAAGTTGAGATTCCAGCCAACCGTCATTTGTCTGTACGGTGAGTTCTTGAAGTAACTGGTGAAACTACGTGAGGATATTCACACTGACCTGGTCTAGTAAATTTGGATTAGCGCTCAACTCTGTTTTTGCCGCAGACGGTAGGTAGTTGGAAGCAATGCGATAGGTCACTGAAAAACTGATAGCTCATTACCCTATTAGTGAGGTTATTGGATAATAGATTAACCTAAATTGGTTGGAACGACCAATGACCCGGTTTTTCCATTATAGATGTTGGCCAGCCCTATCCTCACAAACAGGAAGAGGCCATGAAAGTGGTCGGATTCGACTATCGAATAGTGCGAACAGACGAAGTTAGTGTGTGTGATTTGAATTTGAATACGATGTACTGCACAGACAGTTGTCAGTCGTTCACAGTGAACCCTTACTGTCTAGTTTTTTTTGTATCACGAAGTACTTGTTTTAGTTAGTGGCTGTGTATATAATGTGACTCTAGGTCATATTTTTGCTTTTAGATTCCACTCGACAAAAACGAAGGCGATTTTGTTGACCAGCTTTCAGCATCGACTGCGTTAACAAACTCCGCACTCACGGCTGCCGAGGAGACGCTGCGTTGGCGACGGCTGAAGCAGTTGGTGTTGTACACCAGTCGGTCGTTGGGTCACCGGTTCCTCTTGGTGGGGGACAATGCAAGCCAACTTGCAGCTCAGTGTTTGGCGGGCATCGCACAAGGTCGTGGAGGCTCCGTGGCTGCCGAGCTGGTACGTCGCTGGCCTGTTAATTAACTGAACCTACATGTGTCTCGCACTGTGAACTAACTAGCTATTCCTGTGGTTTGAACATGAACGTGCCTGCTGCTCTCTCTCTCTCTCGTTGAGTGGAATTACTTTGCTGAAGTCCCTGTCACAATTGACAGAAGAGGAAGAGCCTGTGTAGGATGTTATCTTACCACTGCTTGAAGTGAGCTGCCGTAATGTGGACTACTGCCTACTTTAGTGTCTAATGCTTTACGAATATTATGTATGCGTACTGAAGAAAGGGTAGTAGCGCATAACTTACTTGGTACATCGAAAAGGCTGAGTTAAAGCCACAAAATGATGCAATTGAAACTGCAAAAGGCAACATATCAACTGCGAAGCAATTGTTGCACGTCAGATGCATCGGCACTGGTACATTTAGCTTGAACCTGGAATCTCAGGGGAATTAGCAACGATCGAGGTGAAGATGGCAATAATAATACTAATAACAACGATCGCGAATCAGTGCTGTCTAAACCATGAATAGCTCCTAAGACGAATTGCTCTTGTCGTATTTCCTCAGTGACTGAAATTCGTCGAGTCAAATCAGGAGGGTTGAAGCGGGGGGGAGGGTGCACGCAGGGCTGTGAATGCTCACGAGACGGACGTTGATTGGCGAAGCTGCGATTCACGCCTGCCGCAGCAGCTAGTCGCAAGTGATGAAGACAAATGACCTGCTGCATATCAAGCTCGATTGCTGGTGACGCTCTTCTTTTTGCTAGTGGTAAATGCATAGTAAAATTTGTTGTTCCTGCAATGAAGGATTCATCATTAACCTCGCCAAATCGATAAGCGTAAACATTTATTGATCAGTGGTAGTGCTGGCACTCATTTGCCTCGGGATGCAAGGAATGGCGTCCTTCCTGTTTACCCTATTTCTACACACAAAGCAAAGCTACCTGCTCTAGTTGAGAGTCTCAATAGGAAGCACGGATGTTGTCTCGACTTTGTGAAACTTCTGTAGGACTTTGCCGACACCCGGTTTACCGACGTGACCATTCTTCGTCCAATGTTCAATTTTCTGGCGAATGAGGTAGTCCTTTTCCTCCGTTATGCGGGTTTGGATGCAGTAATTGAACCGACCCTAAGTCTTGAACAGACGTTGGCTCGCGGTCCAGGCGTCAACTCTATCCAACGCCTCACTCAAGATTTCATAAGCTCACTGCAGTTTGCTGGATTCCCGTCCACCACCAAGGCCGTGCTCAGGTACGTTGAACAATTTTTTTTGTTCAAGCCAAATCTGATTTAGTGACGAGGCGAAGACGTAAGTTGCTGCGCGTTTTATAGAGTCTCGAGGACCTGGCAGAAACTACGCACGATAGTGGGAATGCAAAACATGCCTCAGAGAGTGGGCTGGTTTGTAAATGGGAGCATTGCTCAAGTACGTGATGCAAAGGCAATCGTAGGGTTGTTTATTCGTGTTGCGAATGTTCAGAAATATTGTAGTGTCCAGTCGAGAACCTGAATATGAATGTAAGCTGCATGAAAGAGCATTAGATAAGGTTTGGCTGTGAATTAGCTACCGGAGTTGACCTGACTGTCGATGCGTTCCGCCGCACACTGATTCCATGGAAACCATGCCAACACCGTGCATTGCCCACGCACTGCCTGTTTCCTTACATCAATGTGGCAATTTCGGTGGTTGTTCCCCAGCGCTACACCCTGTTGTTTTTTTAACTGTTGTGGCTGTGACAGAGAGTTGGTCTGTTGTTTCTCAAGTTAGAAATCTGATGGCTTTACGGCATTGCATGTCCAAGTGTTCTATCCTTTGTTCAACTAGTCGGAGACGAAGAAGCGCGTTGGGTTGATGTTTTGCGTTGGTGTTTAATTCATTGGTTTCGATCGTCAGCCTGGTTCTTCCCACTTTGTGTCCTGACTTTCTTGTTAAAGTCTACGAGAGGATTGATGCCACAAAAGCATACCAGTATTAGTGTATTCGGTCGCCTTGAAATGACTGGTTATCCAGATGACCAAGCCCAATGTTTGTTTGTGAGCTGGTTTGTTTGCAGACTTAGCCTCAAGATATGCTTGCACTTTACCCTCCTCTGCATCATTTGGGTTTCTCGGTCATTTTGTTGACGTACTTTTAGTCTTTCTTGTATTGCAGTGCATTGTGTCACTAGCCCCTTTTCAGTTAGGTCCTTCTACTGGTCGTGGCTATCGTGAATGCTTGACTGTAATCATGCAGCCAAATTCAGTTGTTTTCACGCATGATATCCAAAAGAACGCAAGCACCTAGATTTGAGATGTGTGGTTTCACCGCGATAAACCGAGTAATTGCGCCTTTTTATTGTAAAATGATTTGTGTCATCATCGACTTGGCGGAGAGGGAATTTTGAATGGAGGCGCAGGTCATAACTTGGCGTAATAACTGCGCAGTTAGGGTTCCAGACACACGGCTACTCCGTCTTGGGCTAGGTTGACTGCGACAACAGAACAAGTTATTTTTGTCCTAGTATTTTGGTGTTTGGCAGCGTCGTTTAATGATGGTCATGATCCTAATGGAATTGGCAGGCCTTAATTGCCCTGTTGCATTAGTTGGAAATGTTGACATTGCAGACACTGAGCGCACCGTGGCCTTCACATTGTTCACGAAAGCCACGGGATGCTAAATCAAACGTAGCTGATCGCCTGGGCGTTC